GAGCCGCTGCCGGTTGTTTGCGATCAGGGATTTCGAAATGGCATGTCGTAGGTCTGCGGTGCTTGTCGAGGTTTGGCGGGAGCCCTCACGCGGCGGCAAAATACAGCTGGAAGTTGTTGTATTGCCAAATATCCAGCTGGACTGCGTCATGCAACCTGCGCCCCCTTGCAGCATGATACAGTCATGTGTCATCTGACCCCCCCCCCCCAACCAAGGTATGTTGTTCGACAAGCCGCCGCTCGAGGCGTGGCGGCGCCCCTCAACGCGGCGCTGGTGGAGCTGGTGAGGGCCAGAGAGGCCGTCCCCCCTGAACACAGGACACACGAGGAGTTGCGCTAGCGTGTGAAAAATCCGCACACATGCAACACATGACATTGCTTTTTGTCAAGCCTGCTTGCATGATGGGTGTGTGGTGGAGCTCACTTGCCTGTCACCAGGCTACTAGGTGACCTGCGATCCAGGTGTCAAGGGCCCATTGGCCATGGACTGTTACAAACCGGGTTGTTGCTTTGAGTACTCGTGCTGTTGATCAATTTGCGCGGCGGCTGCAGCGGCCTCCTGTGCTCGCCCTCTTGTTGCAGCAGCAGCTTGACTGACGCGTGGAGCGACCTTCCCATCTTGCTCTCTCAGACACGGCTATCTCTCATCGCTTGGGTGGCTCAGTGTGAACTGCGAACCTCGGCCAAGGCCCAAACCCGCGGCGCGGATTCAGTCACCGATCTCATCCTTCCACGATGGCTTTGGATGTCCGCTCCATGCGTTCCGCGCCAAGCAGACACGGTTCATATAACTATTATAAACAACAGCTTTTCAGCTGCACGCGGTCGCAGCATACACCCGGCAGCACCGCGCAGCAGCACACCCTCCGACGCAGCATGGCGCTTGCGCGCGTGGCACCCTGCAGCGCCCACGATGTGCTTAAAGGGAAACACAGCGGTGCCGTATCGCTTGTTGTATCGGCTAGTCCGCCAGGGGCAGCCGTATCAAGCAGCTTGGAGGGTGAGCACGCACCTGCCTGCTGCCTCGCCCGGGCGGGAGTTACATCTCGTACAGTTGGGGCAAGTCTGCACCCCTCAGTGCGCAGCCCAAACCCCTTCATGTCAGCCTTTGTGCGCCTGTAATAGCGGCAGGGCACTGGACACGTTCGCGGCGCCGCGCGCACGCGGCGCGCCCCGCCAACAATCTCATTTCGGCGCCGCCCAACCTCCGCCCCGCCCCTGCGCGCCCCCCTTCAGACTACATCTCCTCTGGCCCCCTCATCGACGTCTGCGGCCTGGGGCGCGACCACGTGACTCAGCACCTGGGGACGTGGGAGAGGCTGGGGCGGCGGCTGGCGCAGCAGATGGGGTTTGACCACGATGCCATGGACCCCGTGCAGCGGTGCGTGCGGCTGCGGCCGCGGCCAGCCGCGGGCCCTGGCCCCGGGGTGCGATGAGTGCATCCATGCTGCACAGCTGCTGCCTGTACATATGTATATAGTCGCAAAGCCAGGGTGCCCTTCCAAGGCGGCCGTGCCGGCGAGCCTCGCACCCTCCCGCGTGTGCGTCGCGCGCGCCCAAACCAAACACGCGGCGCCGCCGGGACCTCCGACGTGCGCACCACGCGCCTACGTACGCGCTCGCGATGCGCAGCCCTGGGCTCACCTCTCGCGGTCCCTCTGTTCAGACACAGCAAGCCTAGAGAACGGCTCCGCTCAAGAAATGCCTCTCTGACGCCACCCCTCCCCTGGCGTCCCCCCCCCTCGTCCTGCCGACCAGGCTGCGCGTGTACCATTACTACCTGCCCGTGTACTTCTGGGTCGATGCGCAGCTGCAGCAGCACAGGCAGAGCGCAGCGCCATCAGACGGGTCCCCACCGCCGCCGCTGGTGGTG